TCTTTGCATTTCACAGCTAAAGTTTCCACGCACACTTTTCGACATCCGACGTTCACGGAAAGTTGTTGACATTGGATAAACAAAACACACTCTGAGATTGTTTTAAAATTCGAAAAAATGTTTGTAGTAATAGAGGAGACTTCTATCTTCAAATTCCACACATTTTTAACGTGAAAAAAAACATAATACTGAATAGCAGCACTTGAAAAATGCCAAATTCGAATTTGCACAAAGTAGCCCCGAATGACGGCAACCGTTTTCCTGCGTAATAATTAAAAGTTAACGATATAATATTTGAATAGCACAGAAATAACGATATCAGCAAAATGAAGAATACAATTTGCTTTTAAATGAAAAGGAAGAATAATTTCTAGTTGAAAGTAAGTAGATGTTACAACAATGAATGTGTTCTAAAAACTAACACCTTTCTTAAGAGAAAAAGAAAACATGAAAAGATGAAAGATGCAAAGATTCTAAAAATGCAATAAAATTAATGAATATGAATAGGAATAATGAATATTTCAAGCACAGAGGCTTCTTTCTCTGATCTCTTTATTACATTCTTCAATTTGGTAAGGACTACTTCTTTATATTGGATTTGATTTCACGCAATTTTCTAAAACTACCATTCCTAAAAAATTATAGAAAATTATTTTTTAATTTGAAAAGATATGTAAAATTCCTTTTCTTTTTTTCTCTTTTATTTTGTAATAAGTCTTATTCTATACATTTTTCTACAAATTCTTTTATTTTAATATTTAGGACCTGCACTATTAGAGAGATTTTGCAAAGCGTTACAATTCTCCGTATCTCTAATATTAACGCTATTTCAGCTTCTCAGCACATATGCGAAAGCCTTCTTACAAATGACCGTCTCCCTAAGGGGTAGAAAATGAATTTAGCGTTATGGCTAACGTAAGAAACACGCTTTGCAAAAGCTCTACATTGTCGTTTCAGTGTTAAGTCATAAAATCGACACATTAAACCACAATTCCAATCAAATTATCTGCAATATTAATAAGATTCTAAATAGGCAATTGTTTCTCAACATATTAATCAATGTGAGTAATCAATAAAAAGAATTCGTAGGATGTTTTGATTCACCCTCGAACTATATTAAAATGCAGCAAATTTAATTGATATTTACTGTTTAACACTTCCTCAAAGTTCTAACTGTGTACATGGAGAAAAATAAATCTGTTGAAATTGCCGTTCTGCACTATAATTACATTTCTGGAAGGAAAAAAAACATAATTCTGGTTAATAAAACACTTACACCGAAGAGCCATTACATTATGACCACCCTCCATCTATAACAATGGGCTCGCCCAGGTTTTCATGGTTTCTCGTCCAGGAACAATGTTTTCATGGGGCACATTAGGACCCATAATCCTCATAGAACAATCCCTGATGTCTGTAAGCTACTTGAACATAGTTGTAGACCAGGTTCACTCATTCATGGCAACAGTTTTTCTAGCGGGGGATGGTGTTTACCAACAGGATAATGCACCATGCCATAAGGGTCGAATCGTCATGAATTGGTTAGAGGAACATTCCAGTGACTTTCAAGTCATGTCTTGGCCCCCAAATTCCGCTGACCTTAATCCAATAGAGCATTTGTGGTCCTACTTGGAAAACCAAATTCGTGCAACCACGCTACCATCTCGCAATGTGAGGGAATTGCAGAACCAGTTGGCGAGCGCCTGGTACCAGATACCTCAGACTACCTATCAGCACCTTGTGGAATCAATGCCACGACGGGTGCTAACAGTTTTGAGTGTTAAAGGTGATCCTACATGTTATTAGCAGGGTGGTCATAATGTAATGTCTCTTCGGTGTATATACCATATTTAAACCATACAATTGGTTATATTTCATCTCATATGGTAACGTTTTACAGGAAATTCTTAAAAGTAAATTTCACTTAAATAAAGGGTTTTTGAAGGTATTATGATTAAATTACCAAATTTTATATCTTGTATAACTGTATTTAATTGTTAGTTTTATCGAAACCATTACCGAACAGCTTCGATAAAAATAACAACCAAGCTTTTTGGTGTTCCCATAGAGCCCGAAACACGGTTAATTTTACCCTATTCTGTTAGTTTTGACCATATTTTTTTCCCTAGTGAATAGACTGTGTGAAGTTTACTGTATACAGAACAACTTTTATCCAAAAAGTATTTCTTTTTTTTTTTTAAAGTTTCTTAAGTAATAAAAAAACTGTCTGGCATTTTAATAAACAAAATATGTCTTTCAAAACATTAACGAAATGAAGATGTCTTTCCGAAAAAGGTTATTTACAAAAAGTGTTTATTAACACAAAATTGTTTTGGAAGTTGTTGTTATGGGAACTTCTATCTCGTTTTTTAAAAACATATGTCAGCACGCAGCATTTGAAAAAATTATAATAACCCATCTCATATCAATCTAAAAAATTTAAATCTACAAGAATTTTTTTTTTCTTTAATTTTAATTTATTTGTCTTTTTCTCTTTGAAAACAATATTTTTAAGTTTATTCATGAATCCTTTTTGTTTATCTAATTTCAATACATGTAAAAAGAACGTAATTATAGACATAATGTTAATGGACGTAAAATGTAGACAGAACAAAATTAATGTAGACAGAACCAAAACAAAATATTCATTTATTTACAATGGAAAAAATTACTGTTTGTTTTATTCAAAGAAAGCAATAATAAATCTTCGTTAACTACTTTATATAGTTGCTTTTGGCTATTTGGATTGCGTGACATATTAATTAAATTTTAACATCCTTTAAGCACTAATGATTTTTACTTTAAATGCATTTTTTGTGCTATAAATATATTACTTTTTACCATGACATGTAATTTTAATATTATTTTTTGTTTCATAGTTTATCACTTGTGACTTAATTGCATTTGTCTCTATTCGTTTTAACAAATATAAAGATTTTAAAATTTTTGTAGCTTAAAATATATTACTGTAAGATAGACGTTTTCTCACACCGAGAAAAAAAGTGTGGTAAAAACTACCAGAATATTGTAAAATTTACCGTATTTGTGGCTCTTGGGAAAGTATTAAAAGAACTCTGTAATTCTTACCGAAGCGCAACGATAAAAATTTTAATGAAACTACCAGTAAAATATGGTTTTATAATAAATAAGATTTGGTAAAAGTGGTAAAATTTGGAAAAACCATTTATTCGGTTAAATTTGCTAGCCAATTTTGTACTTTTAATTAAATGTGTGGTAATAAAAGCAACAATTTTAAAAATCAGAGTTTCCGGTAAACCTTTACCAGACGAACAGAAAAATAAATGGTTTCAATACCGTTTATTTGGTTTTAATAACCAGAATTATATTTCTTACCATTATTGTCTTTACAATACACTGATGTAATATTACCCGATTTATTTTTTCTCCGTGGAGTAAATAACAAATTTCCAACAAGTATGGACCACCTCGAAGTTGGTCCATATACAACATGCATGGTAGACGCTTTCGAAAATTGTGCTTTCAAAAAATACGCTTTCGAAATTCAGGATTACTTTTTTTGGGTTTTCTATTTATGTCAAGTTTCCTCATTTATACCATTCATTTTTCAGAAAATTTTGAATTTACAAGATTACATATTATAATTTCTTTGCATCATAATTCCTTCTAGAAATTAATATTTCAATAATAATCAAAAATATAATAAGTAATAGTATTCAATTAATTATATATATAATATTCAATTATAACGTAAAAATAAATAATACTCAATTAATAAAAATTGAAATAAATATTTAATTTATAGATAATGAAATAAATATTTAATTTATAAAACTTGAAATGAATATTTCAATTAATAAAAAATGAAGTAAATATTATATTAATAAAAAAATGATATGAATATTCAATCAATAAAAATGAAATAAATACTAAATCAATAAAAAACAAAATAAATATCGGAATAATAAAGAATGAAGTAAATATTAATTAATAAATAATGAAATATTTATTTTTAAAATAAACCAGGGTGATTTTCAAATTGATGTTTTTTTTTTCTATTTACAAATATCTCTGAGGTAAAAATTTTGCATCGACAGCATGGACGTTATCACTTGAATATTTTTAATTGCACCGGGTTTATACAATTGGTATAATTAATCTTTTCATGCTAACTTATCTTTGCTAATTTATACTTTTTCCTTTACTACCGGGAAAGTAATTTTGTTCCAGAACCTGAAAATAACGGTAGTAAAGTGTTTAAAAACAGTTTCAACTTGTTAGCTCAAAACAGTTAAGCTTGTAAGAACATTTTTCATGATATTTTGTGATAATACTACTTTATTTTTTCCCTTATCTAAATTCTTTACTCATTAAATTTTATCATTTGTTTACCTATGCTTCATGAGAAATAATTTCTTTTATATTTATTCCTTCAGGAACTAAAAAAGTCATATATTTATCACTTATAAGGAAATATTTTACTTCGAGGGGAACGCGAAAATGTAGTTACAATGTATAAAAAATCTGTTAAATTTATAGTAAAAAACTGTAAGTTCATGTATACCAGTATAAAATCGTTTATTTTACAGAAAAACGCTCTTATTTTATAACGGGTGCCTGTTTTTAAGCAGATAAGTGCTGTACTTTTTACAAACTCTGTTATTTCAACAAAAAGACTCGACAAAAGAGCATTTTTAAAAAAAATGCTCTATAAGATAACTATGTCAGCATTATAGTCCTTGCGAGTCGAAAACAGAATGAGCAGTAAGCGCCGATATTCGAACCCGCATTACCTCAATGAGAGATGAGCATTTCATCCTCTCGGCCACATCAGCTCAAGTGTTAGGTTATAAAAGAAATTCTTAAATTGTCGTTATCTTAAAAGTCTTACTAATCGAAAACATATTTAGCTGTAAAAACATTTAAAACTATATTGACCCACCCTTATGAAAATGCCTGGCACTTACGCACTTATTTAACTTACCGAAAAATTTTATCTATAGACAGATGATAATCATGTAGAGTATCAATTCGACAATGCAGTTGAATCACAATTTTATTTGCACTATTGTTCAAAACTATAAAATAAATTCTGAAAAATATAGAAAAGAGCAAGTATGGAAAATAATCGTGAAATGATTTGAAAAAAGAATAAAGTTATGTTACGCTAAGCAAAACTGCATGGAAAAATTAAAATATTAATTAACAATTTAAATCCGTTTATTATTAGAATAAAAAACAAAACGAAAAATTACTTTTGTGAAGAACACCTGTAAACCGTCAAATATACGGAGAAAGTCTTCAAAAAAACGGGAAGTTTTTGCAGATTTAAAACAGAAAAAATCCGCATTTATCTTTAAACAGTTTTTTTTTCTGTATAAAACATGCTTTTCTTTTCTTTAGAATTTTCATTTCTTTTTTACTTAATATATGCGCAAACTCTTTTTCTAAGAGATTCATTTACATTATGATAAATTATATACCAGCATGATTGAGATTTTTTTCAGAAGTGTGGATAGAAAATTTAAAATTTCAAACAGAAAAAAAAAGTAAATGGTAAAGCTTGCAGGAAAGAAATTTTGAAAAGAAAAAATTGCACAAAAAAGGACATCTGTACCTTTAGAGAATAATTTAAAATTTCTTAAACATTTTATAGCATTTATGCCTACAGAGTAATCGTTTGAAATATGCAACTAATAGAGATTTTGATGGAAAGAGAACTTAAAGTAAACAAATAAACTTCTTTTGTTTCTTTATTATTTTATTAGTATTACCCTCTGATTATATTGTTAGCAAGTTTAATTCTTAATCATTTGATTTTCTGAACAGTTCATAGATGCTCTCATTTGTGTTCATTGATATTCTTTAAATAAATTTACTAATGCACCTGTATTTTGAAACCACCATAGAATAACACTTTTTTTCATATTTTTTGGAATGCATTTATTAACAAAAGCACACAATTTACCTACATAATTGCAGATTTAATGCAAAAATAAAAAGCAAAACTAAGCTCCAATTAACGAAGGAACATTTTTTCTGAAAGTGCATGCATTTGATTTGATTTAGCATCAATAGTTGCATGCAAATGCTTACTTATTTTATTTTTTGTGCAGCCAGAAAGTGAGAACGTGAATTACATAGGTGATCCATCCGATAGTAAGGTAAGCATAGTCAAAGTAGAAGTAGCAGTAGTTGGTTATTATCCTTAATCTCTAACACGGGCCATAAATCTACTTAGTTTTGCTGTCAGTTAAATAGAATGTTTCCTATGTAATTCATGGGAATTCTTCGTAGTAAAGTTATTTATTGGAAAGAAAGTATCTATTAATGGTTCTACTGAACATATTTAGGCTGTGTGCTGAAACTGCACGAAATATTAATCCTATTATTTAAAGGTTACATAAGTACTGAGGTTCCAAAATCCGTTTTCTTTTTCCGCAATAATGAAAAAGAAGAACAAAACAATAATTATTATTTTCACCACCAACATAAAAAAAGGTTTTATTTTAAAGAAATATTTTGTGTAGACAATTTTTTTAGATTATTTTCTTAATTTATTTTTTAAGATTATTTTTTTTTATATTAAAGTTTGTTTTTAGTTGTAAAATTTGATTTACTTTTTTCCACAACCCTTGATAATTATAAAATAAATCATATTCATCTTTGCATTGTTAATATTAAATATTTTGATATTGTTGCGTCACCAGGTTTCAATAAATGTATGCATTTATATAAATAAAAAATATTCCAAAAACTTTTGTTAATCAATATTATTTTGATACTACACTGTCAAATTACGGTATAATTTTCAGGCACTTTGGGTACATAATCCGCCAAGTTTATTTTTACTGTAAAATACTATACCGAAATTTTTACATTAATATTTATTTCATTAGAGTAATACTATGATTTTACGGTAATTATTACAGTAAAAACTATGTAGTATATCAGATTTTTTGTTCTGTTATATGTTACGACAAAAAGTACCGGCACCCTGAATACCAGTACTTTTTACCGTAATTTGACTCGGAATCTTTTGCAGTGTAGTATTTTTTTAACGGAATACAATTTTCAAACCTTACAAACCAGACAGTTTTCAAACTTTAAATTAGTCTATAAACTTTTTTAAAGAGAGCATTTAAAAAAAAAGTAAATAAGTAAATTTCTTTTTTAAAAAAAACCTAAAGTGCAGAATAAATATTCCAAATAACAATTAGGGCATCTACTACAACTATACTTATAATAGGTCATAAAAGTATCAACAAACTCACGAATGATTTACTTCCTTTACTTACGAAAATAAACTTCATTTAGGTCTTGCTAGGTAGTATAATATTTGAACTATATATTTAATAATTTTCTTATTTGTAGCCACATCGGCATAACAACCACCAGCACACAGGATTCAATTTCCGACCAAGTGATATAAACTATCAGGTACAGTAACTTTTATATTTTGTTTATTTCATTATACAATATTAAGTTTTAAAGAAAGATACTCTGAAAGAAGATTTTTGAAAAAACTTAGTTAAAATTGCATTCTGTTGTTAAAAATACACACTCATGTTTTAAATTTACTTACCAGTTTCTCAGAGATAAAGAAGAACTAGCAGTATTATTATGATAAAAACTAGTGCGAATTCATTTTTCTGCACATACAACATTATGTTCTATTGATAAAATGCTTCTAAGAACACATTATCCTTTTAAGCAAAGTTTTCATTAAACATATCTTTCATAATTTTTATTTCATTATTTTGTATCAATTTAGGTCAAAATAAATTAAATACATAATATTTAGCATTTTAATAATTTTTGGTAATAAAATACAGCATCGAACAACGGTATCCTTTTTTGAGTTTAAAGGTAAAATTTTCTAAACATAGCTCTTTTCCAAACAATAATTTTTCAAATATTCGGATCTCAGAGAAATAGTAATTCATCGCTGAAATTTCTTAAATTTGCAAAATCAATTATGAATAAATTTTTGAACATGAATAAAAAAAATTAACACTACTTTTTTTGGATTTTACATTTTAGAACAAATATTATTCCGAGAATCTAGCCAGATTTTTTTACTAACTATTAGACTGTTCTTAGTAATTACAAAATACTGAAATATATTTTTACTTGAAATAAGAGCTTCAAAATATGTAAGGGACACCTGTGACCCATCTGCTTCCAGGGGTTAAAAATATCTACAAGGCTCGAAATGCGTGTAGAGTCAATACCTCCTAGAAAAGAGAAGGCCTTAGCACGGGTTACCATAAGCATGAAATTTGATCCTTTAGTAGTCCAAACGTAATGACATCTTTCGTATTTTCCAGTACAGCGCAACTTAGTAGCCCAATCGTAGTGATATCTTTCTTCTTTTTCATCGACTGCGCAGTTTATGTTCGTCACGTTGGACTACTAAATTGATCCGTGCTGAGGCCTTCGTTCTTCTAGGAGGTGATGGTAGAGCGCTTGCTTCCAATGAGGTGAGCCAAGTTTGAATCCCAGCGGTGGCCACAATGCTGACGTAAAATATCCTAAGGCAAAACCGACAAAGGACTTCTACCTATAATTTGTCTACCATTGTGCGCAATTCGTATTGATCCCGGGATCGAGCGCTCTATCAAATTAAGCCTACCCTTAAACTTTGACTTACAGAACATGAAATTATGTAAAAAAATCGTGATATTAAACGATTTCCCATCGTTCAACATAATTGGAATTTTATGCAAAAGTATTATCATTCTTTCAGCACAGATTTTAGGCCTTCCCTATTTATTTATTTTTTTTCATCCTTCTTTTTCATCGTTCAGAAAAGAGCTGTGCATTCAAACAATCTTATAAAATAGTTTTTTTTTTTTTTTTTTGTACTTTTTTTGTTTCGACAAATATTAAATTTACGATTTTTTCTTAATCACAGGATGTAATGAAGCGACTTGTAAGTCGGTACATACATATGACAAAGAAACAGTTGCGACAAGATGGTGTCAATGAAGATGATTTATTGGAAATTAAGCAAGACATATCAAGTTTACGGTAAGATAATTAAAAAAAACTATGAGATTTATAAAAATTATTTTAATCATAAAATATAAATGGTCTTCAATCCAGATTTTCAATTAAATTACAGTGTTATTTTTAATACACGAAGTTGTAAGTATTTAGTGTCGTTAGAAAAATATAAGTCCCGGGATAGCCTGATTGGTAGGGCATTGGGCTCATGTCCAAGAGGTCGTGAGTTCGATCCCTAAAGGCTGAAATCTTTCCATGTACAAAAGGGTGACTGGTGAACGCTAAATCTGTCGGGGTTACTAATTCCTTCAAGTTCCTATAATGAATTAATACCTTTGGGGGTACTGGAACGGAGATTGATCGTGCTCTGGTTCAGGTCAAAATTTCGATCAGTGGATGGATGGATAGTGTGTGAATGCGTCCTCCCAGTCAAACGGGTTGTGACGTATGCGTATGGCAGAAGTCGAATTCTTGGAAATAGATGGCGCCACTGAAAAACAAGAAGAAACGCACCCCCAGCTTTAAAATAGGCTAGTTAGTGTTGAGAAGTGACATAAGACAACAACAGAAAGATTAAAAGTCAAACAATGGATTTTAATTTATTGTCAGCGGTTTAAATCTTTTACACCCTTCATAAGCTGATTTACATTCGAATTATTTCTAACTATAGCAACATTACTACAGCAATTACGCATTCAGAGTACGTTAGCATCAGCATAAATATTTTTCAATAGCTTTTAGAAAATACTGAAAACAGTTTTTTTTTCTGCAGTAGAATATGAGGCTTAAAAGCATAATAAACAATTGTCACAGAAAGCGATTTATAAATAATCTCCGCAAAGTGAAGAGTAAAAATTCGGGTAAAGTAAAATTTTCAAATTATGTTAATCTAGTTCACGTTTTATGCTAAAAACCTAAGATTTTAAAAAAAATCATTTAAATAGTTTCCAAAGTATAATAATTTACAAATAACTACTATTCAAGTTTTTTTCTCTATTTTTTTCAAATTTTGGGTTTTAGCATAAGCATTTACATAGATTAACAAAATGTATATTTCATTGAATTTACACTGAAAAAAACGTATGGTCAAACTACCAGAATATGGTAACATTTACTGTGTTTCTAGCTCTATGGGGACACCAAAAACACGGTAACTTTTACCGAAAACCTCTCGTAACGATTCAAGTAAAATTAATAATATTAAATATGGTTTTATATATTATTAATTTCTCAATGCAGGCATTTAAGTTTACGAGGTGATGATGATGTGTTCTCACAATAATATGATATTGCGTTTGTATCAAACGTGAACATTTTTACTGTTCAACACGTTAAAATGTCATACAGTAAAGTAACTTATCACATATTATAAAACCAAATTTTATTGTGAATTTTATCAGAATCGTTACCAGAGTACTCTATCGCAAAAAGTATTTGTGCCTTTACAGCGTTAATGCTGTTTTCGTTTTGTAAAGCCTTATTTCAATCAAATTTATTAAATTATACACATATTACATTACAGATACGAACTGAGAGAAGATCGCAAAAGAGAAACAGCTAGAAACACGGGACAAATAGACAGTATAAAGAGGGACATTATTCGTTCTTTAAGAGGAAACCAAGCATGGATGTCACCAAACTTTGGACAAGCACCATCCGCAGATTTACCAAGTCCTATGAGTTCAACTGGCGCAATGACTCCTATGGAATTTGAAAGCCTCAAACAAGAACTTGTGACTTGTCTCCGTGATGAAATGCGACTTCTTTTGTCAAGAGACTCGCAGTATCCCCATGGACCCTTAGAACCTCCTACAGTCAATTCTGAACTGTACCAAACACATCTCTTCACACAATTATAGCAAAATAGTTTAAAGAGTCAATTATTTGTACAGATATTTTACGATGAAAAGATATTTAGATCATATAGATTGGGACATTCGTATTGAATTTAAGGAACATGACTCATTCCTCGTGTATTTGTCAATTTGAATATTGAAATTCGTTAGCGTTATTATTTATTTATTGCGTTCATCGACTCAAAATTTAGAATGCAAACTTTCAAAATTTGTTTATTACAAAAAATAATTTTTAATGGTATATCTATATACATCTATCGATGCATTACTGTTGTGGAATTGAGTGGGAACACCACTGTAAAATTTTCCCAAAGCGTTTCTCGAAACTAAGAACTTTTCCAAAGAAGTAATAGTTCATATAAATGGAATATATAAATGTTAAAATTGATGCATTTCAAAGCATATTTTATCTCTTACTGGTATAAATATATATGAAATTACAAGACTTAAGACTTTAATAAGACTTAAGACTCGTGGTCTGGATAACATTTTATTGAATTTTCTTAAACAGTTTGATCGTGTACAAAATTAATGTAATTTTTATTATGTGATTAATTACTGATATTACCTTAGTATATTTTGATTTAATAAATGTTAAACTCATTAAAAAAAATTTTAAACTGCAGGCATTGTGTTAAAAATAATTTAAAGTCTTACATGCAGCGGAAATTTCCTCTAAGTTATACAAGCTAGAATGTCTTAAAGAGAACTAGTAACGTTTTAAAGGAGTTGTTGAGTCTGTTCTAATCTTCTGTATCTTAGTAATCAGGAAACACAATATCGTTTAACATTTTTGGAGCCCGCTGTAAAGCTGAACCATATAATCGTACAAATTAATCCACTGACGGTTCTGGGCGTAAAAGGTCGTATTTTAACCTGCAGTCTTCTCCGCACAGCAAAACAGGGCTTTCCATGTTATTAGATAGGAATATAGCGTATTGGGGTTTCCTAATTTTGTCTATTTTCTAAGCCGCCAGAGGGTTAAACCATTCTTAAACTTGATTACACGTTCTTACGGCTAAGCTTGAGCGAAAACATGGTTCGAGAAACGAATATTATGGCATTAAAGAGAAGTACTGCGTACATCATCAACAATAAGCGTATTTAGTTTCACAGACATCATTTTATACATAGAGTCTCAAATAATCCCAAAACCCATTGCACATACGTTGAAAAGGGACAGAAAACAATTAGAAAAGCACAAATCACCAAAATATTCAAGGTTGGAACGCGAGTTTTAAAGCGCTAGAGTACGCAACATGCTGTGTCACGAAATGATTGGAAATAAAACAGAGATAGAATGAAAAAAATCCAATAAAATGAAGGGAAAAAACTAATAAAATGAAGAAAAATATTTTATTCTACAAAATGAAATGAAACAGCACTAAATACCCTATTAATGGAAGTTCTCAAAAATGCGCCCATTAACATTAAAGCCATCACCTTCACACCAAAGTGATCCGAGTGATCGTCGTACATTGGCAAAAACTCCAGACATCTCTCTTATTATGTCAGCAGCTACATTCACCCGGGGTAAGGTCTTAAGCAGAATCTTTGGGACCATCGTCGTAGATGAAGCTCTTCATATGACCCCAGACATAAAATTCCAGACTCAAAAGAAAAGTCCGAGGCCAATAACTCGTTATGACTTACATCCAGATCATAGATTGTATGGTTATTTGTGCTTTTCTAGTTGTCTTCTATCACCCCCTTACCTATGTACCATGAGTTTTGGGACATATATATATGTATATATACAGGGTTATTCATAATTCCCTCCGGGGTTTCGAAGCGCTATAGTAAAAAAAAGAAGACGAATGTGAAAAAAAGAAATATATGAAATTATTCCGAAACTATTCAAGTTTTACTTACATACATTACAGGTGTTCTATGTGTGAACCCTTGATCACACGGCATACATCAATGCGATAGTCCAGTNTACATGTATAAAAGGACAAAAAAGAAGAATAAAACAAAATAAAATAAAAAAACTTTTAATAGGAAAGCGTAAAGGTCTTCATCAGGACACATTCATTACGATAAATGCGATATTTCTGAATAAAGAATAATTATCCAAAGATAAAAAATTAATATATGGTGTGTTTTGCTTGTGATATGAGCAATGAAATTCTTTTGAGAAAATTGCAGTGGTGATTCCACTTTTTAAATAAAGCATTAGTCTAATTTTTAAAAAAAATTTCACCAGTTTTTCCTATAAAGATTTTTGTATTGATATGTAATAGTAATATTGGAAATAGCATAAAATTTTGCACCCAACAATATTTTTAGTACTTAACTCCTTCAGATTGTTTAATAGATACGTGATGATATAAAAGAAATGTAGTTTGTCACTGATTACTTTTGAAGAGTTGAATGCAACACTAAATAACTGTTACGTGTAAGTGTGAACTTTTTACAAATGAAATTTCCTACTTAATAAATAAGATATAGAAATAAGATCTATAAATAATTCTCCATACATGTATCAATTCAAATATTAAAATTCCTTTGTGTTACGTTACTATTTTAATATTTTGCACTCGTACTAAAATGTTTGAATTTAAGTTTTCTGCTGCATGTACTTATAAAGTTATTTCTGTTGGTAATGATGCTCTGAATTTGTGTTGAATGAATATCTATTTTATCTTTTGCAGTTTATATTGTGGGCATTTGAATACAGTTATATCTAACGCTATTCTGTAAAAAAATACATAGTATTTATAGAAAATATCTAAGAAATTCGGATTCCATGTAACTCTCTACAATGTAAAAAAATTCTGGGTCGAATTGCGGTAAAAAGTACCAGCACTCAGAGTGTCGGTACTTTTTGGGGTAAAATCCATTTTTACCATAAAATTTTACGGAGAAAAAAAATCTGATAAACCATAATTCTTATAAAGTGATATTTACTGTAAAATCGTTGAAACACCGTTATTAAATAAATAATACCATAAAAATTACGGTATAAAATTTTGCGATAAAAATGGATTTTACGGATGATGCACCCTGGGTGCCAGTACATTTCCGTAATATTTTCAGGGATTTTTTTAGAGTGTAATATTGTTATTGAATTAAACATTGTAAACATAGTAGGTTTACTAAGTTTGATGCCGTGAGGTTGCTAGAAAAATTTATGGAATCTTATTTCCTAAAAATTTTCCAGTAATACAGGTATTTTTTTTGGAAAGTAGGATTTGAAAAAAAAGTGACATGGACAAGTTAAATGTAACAGCTTCATTCTAACTACTTTTCATAATAGTATTTGACGCACTTCTATATATAATTACTATACATTTGTATAGAAATTTTTGAAACAGTATAAAAATGTTGTTCTCAACACTCTTTTTAGTACCTACTTAAAGGAGTTCATGCTCGAATTGTTTCAATAAATGTACAAGAAAGTAAATTGATTTGTGAAAAATTTAATCTCCGGTTGATAAACGTCTTATGTACACTAAATATTATGAAAAACGATTGAAACGAACTGCACTAAAAAACTATGTTGCATGAAATTATCTCTTATTGTTGCTTTTAATTTGAATTTATAATTTTTATCAAAGAATATCTATTTTACTCCAATAAAACTCTCAGAAATAAAACTCTCACTTTTGACGATTCAGCAATCCTTGAGCAGTATTTCGTCAATTCTGAAAACTACATCGTCACGAAATCACGTGATTTGTGATAAAACGGGAATTTTCAAATATATGATAAAATAAAATAATATTAATTAGTAATTCATTAAAACATTTCATGTCGGAAAAAAATCAACCGGGTTTTTAAGAGAACAAAAGTTAAAGAATATTTTTCACTGTTTGCTCTTTTTTTCTTTTAGATTGTGCTTTTAAAGGTTGGTATAGTATAGGGGGGGGAAATGAGAAAGAGACGTAACAGTGATAACCGAAGAATGAAATTGCAATTTCTGGGGGAACACAAGCATGAAAAGACACTCCTCTCTTTAAGCGAATAATGGAGAAATGAAAATGATTTAAAAACTTTTTTTCTTTTGAAATGTTGATTCATTTTTATTTCGTTAATAATTCTCTGATAAATTCCTCATTATTTCTCACTCTTATAGGCGTGAACATATTTTATTTCAAAACCAATAACTTTTTAGTATTATTACTTCGTTTAAAGCATTTACTAAATTTTATAGTTTCTTTTAAAACTAATTACTGCTTCACATAACACCTGAAATTTTTTAAAAATTTTCTAATAAATTTCTGCTATTTAAAAATGTTATAGTTTGCATACGTGCAGCAGATAAAAGAATTTAGCACTACCTTTAAAATAGTGAAAAATATGAAGTTTTTTTTCCCCACAAAAATAATTTTTGAGAAATTAAGGCAAATAGTTTATAAATTTGTTTACAAAAAATTTAATGTAATTCAGAAAAATTTGAATCGTTATTTGAATCTTATTTGTTAATAACATGCTTATAAATGTTAAATTTATAATATGTTTATAATATATTTATTAATGTAATATTTGTTTATAAATGTTAAATTTATAATATGTTTATTAATGTAATATTCGTTTATAAATGTTAAATTTATAATATTTTTATTAATGTAATATTCGTTTATAAATGTTAAATTTATAATATGTTTATTAATGTAATATTCGTTTATAAATGTTAAATGTTTATAATATTATTTTCCGTTAAAACAATTAACAGTGCTCTGATAGAAATAATTAAATACAAAGTAAAAAGTGTTGTATAAAATGTGTGAACAGTTGTATCTCACTTTACTCAATTTGGAAAAAAAATTGTTTAACTTGGAAGACAGAATAATAATAAATTATTAATGTCGAATTGTATGTAAAATGATGTGATGTATTTCTGTTAAAGATGTGTTATTAAAATGTTTAGAAAAAAAATTGCTTATCTTGATATTATTCAATGAATTTTACAAGATTAGACGAAAATGCTGTATCTTGGACCAACTTTAATTTATTTTACGTATTTTTATACATTTATTTATTTATGCATTCAAATAATTTAGAAACAAAATATATATACTATCAATATAATTTTTTGTGAATGTCTTTCACCTTTAAAACAGTTTTTCAAGTAAGTTTCAAAGCACAACATGATCTTGTACATTGGACAGCACATATAGTAGCATTGACAACACTGTAAAAACGCCAGATCAAATTACGGTTAAAAGTACCGACACTTTGGGTGCATCATCCGTAAAATGAATTTTACCGTAATTGTTTCTGTAATATTTATTTAATTTGAGTGATTCAGCGATTTTACGGTACTTATTGCTGTAAAAATTACGGTATATCAGTTTTTTTTTTGTTCCGCAGCATCTTTCCGATAAAAAGGATTTTACGGTAAAAAGTATCGGTACCCTGAGTGCCAGTACATTTAATAGTAATTTGGTCCGTAATTGTTTACAGTGTACTTCAAAAGTGTAATAAGTGATTTAAGCAAATAGATGGCATTACATAACGAATTTATTTGGCTTGATGATAATTAATTCTTACGATAAAACGACAATAATCATGCGAGTAGTTTAAAAAATGTTATCAAATGCTCAGTCCATTTTCCTAAATACGTTTTTTGAGCTATATTCATTTTCTTGATTAAGCATCTTGAGCAATGTCAGTTTTCAAAAATACATATTTTGAGCCATGTCTATTTCTCAATTACGCATTGTCCTTATTCTTAAAGACGCATTAAGCTATTTCCAAAATAAAAACTCATTTCTAAATAATGCAACCACAAAAAAGTGCTCCGGTGGCGCAGTCAGTTCAGTCGCACCGCTGGTTGAAGAACTGGGGATAGTACGTTCGATTCTGGCAAAGCAACCGGCGTGTATGCACAGTAAGGTGCACTTTTATCTCGCTGAGCGTCCTCTCTTTGATTGTGGGTTTTGAGAGAGGGGTAACGACTCAGGCGTTGTCCACGTCGTCTGACCGGGATCAGCATTCCTACCATGGCCGTTAAAAGATAAAACCAGTAAATATGGGGCTAAGTGCTCGATTATGGTTGGGTGAAGATGATGTTACCATAAAAGTCAAAAATGTATATAGTGTCGACATTTTCTTGTGTTCATAGTGGTTTAGAGGGCCTCCAAAATATTTGTTATATTCAGCTGTTTTGCAAGTAATATAACATTTTTTTAAATACAAATGATATCCTAGTAGAATAGATTATTAAAAAA